CGCCACCTGGGCTTCCGAAGTGCTCAGGTGGTAGCGGAGCTTTGGTTTGCCCTGGGTATATCTCAGTGGCATCTGGAGCGCACGACATCCGCTGTGCATAGAGTTGGTAGCATGAGTGGTCCGGGGAAAGATGATGAGAGACCTCGCTTGGAGAGATTCGATGGAACGCAGCCATCCCAGTATCGGCGGTGGCGTCGGAAGGCAGAGCTTATGCTCTTAGCCCTTCCGAATACCTACACCAAAGAACGGTGGGGAGCGAAACTCCTTGAAATCGTGGCCGGCGAAGCTGCAGAGGTGTGCGAAGCTTTGCCACTCGAAAAGATCACCAAGGAGGGCGGCCATACCTTGATTCTGGAAGCTTTGGATGAGAGGTATAAGGAACTTCAGAAAGAGGCGCTGCATAACCACTTGCAGGAGTACTTCTACGGCATGCAGATCAGGCCGGGCGAAACCTATCGCAATCTGGAGGTTCGGCTACAGACTGCGTACAGACGGCTGCAAGAGCATGCTATTGAGTTACCTTCGGAAGTTCGTGGCTGGTTCTTGATGAGGAAGCTTCAGCTGGATGCATCAGCAGAAGCTTTGATCATGACCCATACAAAGGGGTCACTCAAGCATGAGGAGGTCACCCGTGCTGTGCAAGCGATCTTTCCACAGGGCGTTGCCAAGAATGTTCATGGGAAGACCAAGGAGGTCTTCGAAGCCGATGACCACGGTGGAACCGTGGATGCCGAGGAGACTGCAGAGGACGTTTTCCAGGCGGTGGCAGACCAAGTGCAGTCTGCAGATGAGTATGATGATGAAGATGCCTTAGATGTGTTCGAGACCTACAAGGAGGTGCGAAAACGTGTTCAGCAGAAGAAGCTTGGCAGGGGCTACAAGAACGACGAGAGCAACCAGTGGAAGTTGTCAGGCACGGTTCGTGGAAAAGTGGAATTGCTGAAGAGCAAGACCAAGTGTCATTTGTGCCATGAACGTGGACACTGGAAAAGGGAATGCCCTCGACGTGGCCAAGGCGGCTCAGGGCGGCAGACTCGTGCCAGTGGTTCCAAGGAGGCAATGGTGGCAGACGACGGCGTTGACGGGTACAAGGACATCGAGTATGAGCACTTCCTTGACGTGGATGAGATCGGCAAGTTTGAGATATTTCTTGCAGAAAGAGGCGATCAGGTGGAAGTGGTTTTGGCGAGCCAACAAGAAGCGATGTGTGAAACCGGTGAAGTGAGCGGGGACTTTGAGAGTAGTTTGACCGAGTTTTTGAACCATTCGGGAGCCGAGGACATGCGTGCCGATGAGGTATACATGTCTGAGTGCGCGGGTCTTCATGACCATGGGGTTCCTGACACCGCTTGTAGACGGACTTTAGTGGGTGAGTCAGTGTTGAAGCGAATGTCAGAGACACTAGCGAAGTCGGGGCTGAGGGTTCGCTATGTGAGGGAGAGTCATGAGTTTAGGTTCGGTAATGCTGGGGTGCTTCGAACTTCGGTGACAGCTCTGATTCCGGTGTGTCTCGGAGGCAAGCAGCTGGCGATCAAGGCAGCAGTTTTGCCAGGTACAGGGTCTGAGACGCCACTTCTTCTGTCTTGCGAGTTAAATTAGATATGGGGAATGACATTCTTGAAATAGGCAAGTACAGGGTCCGGGTGAAACTTCGTGAGACAGAGCGCGGACACTATGCACTTCCGTTGTTCGAGGGCATGCAGCAGTGCAGAGCAGAACTGCAGGAGGTGCCGAATGTGCCAGCAAAGACGCATGAGGTGAATGCTGCAGAGTTTTCGGTCCCCAGCGTGAAGGATAGTGCAGCTGAGGCCCAGAGTTCTGCCTACGAGCATGAGCTACACGGGCCAAGCCATGAGCGACACCCCGATGATGGGCCACGGCCAGAGTCAGCTCATCATGGAGCTGATGGACGAAGTGGCGAATCAAGCTGCAGCGTCGGACGGGCAGCTCACGGACGTGAGTGCCAAAATTCTGGACGAGGCAGCCGATCTCAGCGAAGACGAGCTCGACGCAACAGTGCCAGGCATCGATGGCTCGCTGGGACAAAGGATCTTCAACATCGGGAAGTTTCAGAAATCAGGCCAGCTCATGACATTCAAGGTGGCATACGAGCAGGACAAGAAATATGTGGCGTGGGTGAGAAAGTTCATCAAAGGCAAGAATCCAGATCCCACGAAGACCAACCACCCGACAATGTCTCAGTTCAGGCTGTACATCGCTCTTCGGGATCAGCGGAAGTCTCTTCGCCTGCAGATGAATCCAGAGCTCAGCGTGCAACCACAAGGACCGTCACCTTCGATGATGAACGCTCGCCCAAAGGTAAGGGCAGCCACGGGGCAGCAGCAGCCCAAGGCAAGAGCTACCATGGGGACTCAGCGCAGGGCTCCGATGACCTCCGGCGCCATGAGTGCTGCATCGTCGGCGCGGATGCTGCATCCACCAGCGACGGCCTCTCAGTCATCAGGAACATGGGAGGATCAATGGGTGGTGGCGACAGAGCCCGAGGCGGAGACAGCGACAGAGACAGTCCAAGAGCGTCGTCGCAGGGCCATCCGCGAGCAGATCGAGCTTCTGACGTTTCAGTTGGAGGCGATGCAGGAGGAAGCAGAGGACCTGTGAACTCAGCTGGTGCAAGAGATCCGGCAGAGTCTATTATGAGCCATGCAGATCGTAAGCTGTGTAGGCGTGGGTTGGAAGCTTGTTCCCGGAAGCCAGTTGAACTTTACGGTGTTCATGAGGGCATTGATGTGTTGGTTCTTGAAAAGGGTTCCGGTGAAGAAGTGCTCACGGCAGTGGGTCTGAGTGCCAAAGCTATCTTTGATGATTTGTCGGCCGCAACGGTTCGACAATCCGCGACTATCGAGCAGGCTGTGAAAATGATTCGGAAGTTCACTCCCAAGGTGCTAGTCGTGAGACCACCCGATTACATGACTAAAACCAGAGGTAGCAAGCACATGGTTCGAACGTATCATGCTAGGCAACGTGCTGCTTACACCAGGCTTGTGAGTGCTTGTTGCATGGAGCAGTTTTGTGAAGGTCGGCTGTTTTGTGTGGAAGATGTGAATGAGTGCATGAGTGAGAGAGTGAGACAGTGGAGAAAGCAGCTGAGCGATGAGAACATGTTGCTTGAGGAGAGAGTGGAGAGCGACAACATGTGGAGGGCTCACACGAACTGCAGTCACATCCAGCAACAGATGCAGAAAACGTGGTTGAACATGAAGGAACTTCAGGATCCCAGGTGTTTCATGAAGGATGTTGCTGCAGGAGTTCTGAGGGCTAAACAGCAAGTCTATGAGGTGCATGTGGCTCATTGCGTGTACACCATTGAGGATTTGAGAAGCGAGGAGGCGCAGGACGATCGTCGTGTCATGACCATACTTCGTCGTTGCCATGAGAACTTAGGTCATCCGTCTCCGGCGCGCATGAACATGTTACTTCGTGCTGCACATGCGAGTGAGAGAGTGCTGAAGCTTGCAAAAGGGTTGCGATGCGAGACTTGTGATGAGTTAGCAAAGCCCAAATCACATCATGTGACAAAGCTGAGGAAGGCAACGGAGTTCAACCAGCAAGTGTGCGTGGATACTTTTGAGCAGGAAGTCAGGGATTGCAAGGTACACTTTCTCAACATTGTCGACGAGGCCACTGGGTATCAAATGTGCAGTCCGTTGTGGAAGGGTATGCAAGCTAAACACGTGAGAAACGCGTATCGGAAGCACTGGAAACGGTGGGCAGGACCTCCAGTTCGTTTGTTTTGTGACGGTGGCAAGGAGTTTGAAGGCGAGTTTGAGCATGGGTTGTCACTTGATGGTACCTTTTGTGACTCGTCAGCAGCGTATTCTCCATGGCAAAATGGCTTGTGTGAGAAGAAAGGTGATGTCTGGAAGGTTGCATTTGCTAAGGCCCAGGTTGAAGCTCGTCCGCGAAGCAAGCTTGAAGCTCAAGAGCTGATCGATCAGGTCACTTGTGCAGTCAATAGCATGACCAGAAAGGACGGATATGCTCCTAACCAGCATGTGTTTGGTCGTGATGTGAGAATCCCTGGCTTGGTGAGCTCAGACAGTGATCCAGTGATCAATTCAGCATTGGTCCAAGGTGAGTCGATCTTTGAGAGGCGTGTTGGTTTTCGTGTGGCCGCGAGAAGAGCTTTCTTGGAGGCTGACAATGACATGAGGCTGAGAAAGGCGATGGAGCACCGCACGAGGCCAGAGCGAGGACCGTTTGAAGTCGGACAGCTTGTGTTTCTGTGGCGCAAGAACCGGTTTGACAATCGGGCTCATTGGCATGGTCCCGCAGTTGTCATTGGAAAGGCTGGAGCGTCTAAGGTTTGGGTTGCGCGAGGCACCAAGGTTTACCGTTGTTGTCCAGAGCAGTTGCGTGCCTTGTCTCCAGATCAAGAGGCAACAGTGAAGATGCTTCCTGCTGACATGGTACATGTCAGAGGATTAGTGAGTGCAAGGGGAGCAGGCAACTTCTATGATTTGAGCATGCTTGATAAGCCACCAGATACAGAGTTGGAACAAGTTCCTATGCAGGATGTTGTACCGGACGAGAGTGGCGGTGGACATCTAGAGGCAGCAGGTGTGGGGAGCTGGGAACCGGAAGTTGGATCCGATGAGGCTTCAGGTCCACAGGTGTCGTTGCCAATGGCTGTTGAAGGTCGCGATGGTCATCAGGAGCGAGTGGCTCCAACAGGAGAGGAATCGCCTACAAAGCGTGCAAGAGTTCATGCTCCTTTGACTCCACTTACTCAGATGATGCGGCAAGATCCTGAAATGGTTGATCGAGGTCGACCGAGTAGTGGTGTAAGTTCTGCAGTGCCGAATGCAGAGAGTGTTCCTGTGCCGGACGCAGATGAACCGGACGACGAGCTTGAGGTGCATGCTTGTTAAGGAGATCATTGGGTTGTAAGTCACAGTCGCGCGAGGCTTGTGAGGGTGCATGCTGTCGAACGGAAAGGTGTCTACATTCCGCCGGTGCATGATCTGCCAATTGATGAACAGTACATTGACAGCCGGTGTTGTATGGTTGGATTTGATCGGCTTGGAAACAAGGTTTGTTGTGAGTACGACTGGAGATGCCAAGAGATGCCAGAGGTGCCAGTGCGTGGAAGGTTCTGGACAGGACACACTGAGTTCTTCCTTAAGAATGGATGGTCTGTCAAGTCGCAGGAACAAGTTGAGTGTTTTGAGGTGAACATTAAGAAGGGCCGCAAGGAATTGACTGATCATGAGATTCCTTCGAGTAAGCGGGAAGGACTGAGCCAGGCCAAGATGAAGGAGTGGAAGAAGTTGGTTGAGAGTGGTGCGATTCGAGTGCATTCTGGTGAATCAGCTGATAAGATTCGGCAATCGCTGGATCGAGGACGGTTGCTAAAGTCACGGTTTGTTTTGACCGAAGCTGATGCCGGAAGCAGTCCGTTGACATGTGACATTAAGGCCCGTTGGTGTGTCCGAGGATATCTAGACCCAGATTTGCTGGATCTTGATACAAGTGCTCCGACGCTTACAGCAGAAGGTTTCGCTACGGCAATGCAACTTATTGCTTCTCAGAAGTGGAGACTAAACATTGCTGATGTCGAAGGGGCATTCGTGAGAGGCGATGCATTGGATCCTAAGCGTGGGCGTCTGTTTATTGATCTTCCTCCCGGTGGAGTTCCAGGAGTTCCAGCAGGGAGCGTTGTGGAAGCAATCAAGACCATATATGGTCTTGCAGATGCGCCAAAAGCATGGTGGCAATGTTTTTCGGCGAAGCTCAGGTCGCTAGGGATGAAGGTGTCCAGGTTCGATCCTTGTCTGTATTATTATCATGTGAAAGGGAAAGTGTCGGGAACGATCGCCTTGCATGTTGATGACCTGTGTGCGGGGGGCGATGAGAACTTCCAGCAAGATGTGTTGAAACTTCTTAGAAACATGTTTCCCTTTAAACATTGGAAAACAGGCTCGGGAGATTTTCTTGGAAAGAAGCTTGAACAACAACCTGATGGGAGCATCAAAATCAGTCAGTGCGACTATGCCCGGCAGATGAAGGGAATCGATTTGAGCAGAAGCCGTAGACGCGAGAAGACAGAAGCTGTGAGTGAGGATGAGAGGAGACAGATGCGTGGAGTGTTGGGCGCGTTGAACTGGCTTGTGAGTAGCAGCAGGCCTGACCTTGCAGCTGGATGCTCGCTTTTGCAGCAGAGAGTGTGTGAAGCAACTGTGGCTGATATCATCGAGCTGAATAAGCTTGTCAGTTTGTGTCATGACAACAGCAATGCCTACGTTTGGATTCGTAGCATTCCTCTCGAGCAAGTACAGTTTGTTATGTTGTCTGACGCCGCATGGGCAAATGCACAGTCTTGCTGCAGTCAAGCAGGATACATGGTCGCAGCATGCGACAGCAGACTCTCCAAAGGAGTTTGGGGAACGTTTTCCGTGATGAGGTGGAAGAGCTACAAGCAAGACAGACAGACGCATTCGACACTTGGAGCAGAACTTCTGTCCTTGTCAAGGGGCATTGCCGAAGCAAGATGGTTACGTTCTATGTGGTGTGAAGCAATCTTCGCCAGCTATGCCCTGAAGGACGATCGTAACTGGAGCAGTCGAATACCGATAACTGCAGTTATTGATTGCAAACCCGTATATGATCATGTGGAAGGGCCGATGATTTCTGTCAAAGACAAGCGTGTGGCCATCGAGATGATGCTGGTGAAAGAAGACATCGCCAGCTATGGTATTTCCTTGAGATGGATGGCTACAAAGCAGATGATCGTGGATGTTCTCACGAAACGAGGGGCACCGATGGGGTTGTTTCGGAGTGTTCTTCAGAAAGCGGAGTTTGTTTTGACAGAAGACGAAGAAGTGGCCAGAATTACTGCGAAGAGGAAAGACGTCTGAACATGTTACTCCCCGGATGTGCGAAGTTGACCTAAGGTCTTCCGAGTGCGTTCAGAACAGCAGCCAGTGTACAGAGAAAGCACATGTTCAGATTAAACGTCTCCTCCGATGATGCTGTGTGTATTCAAGGTCCCCGTTAGTACCCGAGATTCTTTGCGATGCTAGCCATGCAAAAGTGAAGCTGTCAGCGCCACCTGGGCTTCCGAAGTGCTCAACATTATATATATATATTGAATATTAATATGTTATATTATTCATTATATATTATACATTATACACTATATATTAGATATCAAATATTATAATTATATATTGAATATTTATATACTACTATATTATATAGGTTCTGCGCCAGAGGTATAGCGTGTATCCATTATATATTATATGTTATATATCATATACTAAATGTTAAATATTACATATTACACATTATGTATTATATATATATTATAGTATATATTATATATTACATGTTATATATTATATATTATATATTATACAGTATGTATTATATATTTTACATTATATATAATAATATATTATAGGACCAGAGGCTAAAGTAAGACCCCTGCCAGGGATGGATTTTAGCATCCGAGGAGCTTCGCTACTTTCCTGCGATGCATCCACGACGCCTTGCGGACCGAGAAAGTCTGCGGTTCGGGTGCTGATTCAGAGAAAAGGTTTAGGGTTTTAGGGTTTTAGGCGTTTTAGGGTTTAGGGTTTCAGGTTTTAGGCGTTTTAGGG